CTATAGTGTATAACCGGCCAAATTATGAAAATTCTATGCCAAAAAAACTGGGTTGGGCCGGGGACAATGCGGGATCACTCAAAAACACATGATTTTGAAGTAGGAAACATGGGAAGTTTACCTAAGGACTGGGATTTGAACAATAGATTGATGGAGGATCTTACTGGAAATCACTGGCAAAAGGTCATTGGTGTGATAACTGGGTTGATGGTTCTGATCTTTATCTTCATGTCAGGATGACATTTGGATCATCATCTGATCAATCGTGAAATGTTCAGAACTTCTTGACTTACCATCTGGTTATTTAACATAGCCATGGAAAATCACCATTTTTAATAGGTAAACCATCTATAAATGGGCCATTTTCCATGGCTATGTTAGTCATAACCAGAGGGTAACTAACTATCCCTGGCTCCAAACAGCTACTCCCCCAATATCTATGGCCAAGATGCCGCCGTCGTGACGGCCGTGCTGGCTCGGCCCAGGTCGCGCATCGTTGGACGGCGATCGGCCTGGAGAAATCATGAGAAATCTCTGTGGAAGTGGCGGAAGTCACCGAAAGTGCTGTTGAAAAGGAGAAATATGGCTGGAACTCGCTGAAACTCGCTCACATCACCAGAATCTTCCAGCTTTCCTCCCCTCAAACCCTCTCACCTTCAAGGCCGACAGGGGCTGGGATCCGCCATGGTGCAGAGCTGAAAAGGCAGCAGAAACCCCAGCAAGAAATCAGGGCCAAAGGGCACATTCCTTTCCTCACTCCACCCCGAGCCCAAGCCCAAGAAAAATGCAGTGCCAGGCTGCCAGTCGCAAACTCTTCATCCCTAGAAAAGCCAAATAACTATAGTAAAATCCGAATATGGCATATCCAAAAATTGGAAATCCGTGATTCTGATTGGATTCACTGCCAGGCGGGATGGGCACCACTAAGCTAAGCAAGTCCACCTCAGGCTTCAGGGATGACCGGCAGACTGCATAGTTTGATGAAACTTCTGCCTCCAAAAAAGCCGTGGTCCATTGTAGAAAAGCCCAAAAAAAGTGTATGGAAACTGTGATGGGCCTACTTTGATGGTGTTTTACTTGTTAATTTTATTCTGGGGTCGTATTGTTTGACTGCCGACTAGTGGTTGGGGCTGCTGCTTTGGCAATCCGTGTGGCTTCGAATCCCAAGATTCCAAACAGCCGATCATTGGTTCATGCTTGATGGATCTTGATGGTTTCAAACCACAACAAAAAATAGCCACAGAAATCCAAAAGGAAAGCAAACAGCAGTTGAAAGTGCCAAAAGTATGAAACTAAACCCACAGCACATGTGATTTTTTTGCGGCCAACTTTCACACCACTGCTGGGAGGCCGGGACGTTAGACCAGAAATAGGTGAAAAAGCGGAGCCCGTTCTTGTAGATCAGCCACGCATTCTCAGCGGCCGGGCATTGACAATCCGTGTTGTGCCAAAGTTTCTTTTGCGAAGCGAGCTTTCAGCTGCACTGAGGCACTTGCAGCTGGGCCCAGTTCTGCCCTGTTCCCAAATAGAAGTGGTGGCATCCCCACGATAGCTATCCTACCTCCTACCCCAATCCGATGCCTCATCCCGCTGGGCTCACAGGCATAAATGGCGAAAAGAAGACTGAAGCCACACGTCAACACCTAGCGGCCGTGAAATCACTACGAAAGTCATTGGCAAATTGGGGATCATGTTCCCAAACAAAGGGGGATGAATTTTAAAATCACCAGCTCCAAGGCAACGTGCTGGAGGCCCCCGACAAGGTACACAAAGCTTCCTCCAAAATCATCTGCGGCCATCAAGGCCCTCGGTGGCATGGAAGGATGCCACAGCCGCAGCACTTGCAGGTGTAGTATATTACATATATTACATATATTACATGCTCATAGGATCTCATAGATAGGGAGACAAATTAATGCATGTAAATAAGTTCATCAATACGTGAATTTAAAAAACAAACTGAATTCAATGAATGAGAAATGAAATGAGAAAAGTAGAAATAAAGGAAATAAATGAATCCAATCCATACCTGCCGGTGACGGGATCTGTTTCATCCTTCGTCTTCTCTTGTCCTCGCTCGCAATTCTCAGAAGCTAAGTGCCATGCAACGACAACTGAACTGCTCGGAAAGGAAAAGCCTGTCGGCATGTCTGCGGAATCGGGTGTCGGAGGCATCCAATGCTTAAAAGTGCAAGTCCTGAATCATTCTTGCATCAAATTAAAAGATGAAGGGAACATCTTTTAACGTTATTGTGAAAGAAAATAGGGATGATAATTTTGATTTGAAGGAAACCCGGAGCATCCCGGAGCAGGGATGTTCAACACTTCTGGCGGAAATCTAAGTCTGCAAGAGTCACACCAAGCAATGACATTTTCTGCCGAGGAAAGATCCCCGCACCCAGAGCCACCTCCTGCCGGATGAGCACACCGCCGGCGGCGGGAAATTCAAAGAGGATCCTGGCACCAGGTGGTGGGCCCGAAACACCAACGAAAAATGATTCAGAAAATCATTGATCAAATTTCATGATGAAGAGAATATTTTCGGAAAAAAGGGGGAAAGACAATAGATGAGGCTGCAATGGGCTCCGAGTTTCCATACGTGGTTTCAAAGACACCGTGAAGCTAAACCGGAGCCCCCTTTTCGTAGGGATTTCGCTCCAAACAGCCCGAGTCTTGGAGGTGGCAATCTTCGGTTGGCTTCTCCTGCTGTGCACGAAACTATTCACGTTTGGATTGATCGTGTTCAGCTCGACCATAAACGCACCTCAGTTCTTGAGCTCATCGGAGAATACCACATTCTCGGCATTACGAACGGGCTCATGAACCATCCAAAGAGATATGATCAATACAATACCTCCAACCAAAAACTTGGCGTGTTGCTTTCATTGCCGGCCGGTCGCTCACCATTTGTTCAATAGTGTGAGCTCCCCTCCCCTCCGGTAGTGATTGTGAACCACGGCCGACACCTCCGACTGCAATCTGAGCAGACCTTTTCGCCCCAACCTCTTCCTGCCCTGATGCCCACGAGGATCCAAAGTCGGTGCTCATGAAAGTTCCATTCCACAAGAATCCAGTCAAAGTGGATTCAAATATGCCAATCGTGTCTCCAACTTGGCGATTCTTCTAGATTTCAGCTATAGTTATATAATGAATGACACCAATTCTACCCAACAAATCCCAACAAATCCCAACTATACCATATTTATTGTTCCACCCATGTTCCACCCATTCATCTGGTCTCACAAGCCATAACCGCTGGGCTCCAGGGCGGGTGCGATCATCCAGCCATTTCCAATACTGCAACTCCCGGAGCCTGGGAACCGAAGAACGATGGCTTTTTTGATGGTTTTTGTTGATAGGTTTTGATATAGTATCCCATGAAACTCCCATGAAACTCTATGAAACTGGGATATACTTTCTGAAACTGAAAATGAATGTTGAAATATGGTTTTGGGTCCCAATTTTGTGACAATTTGAGCTGAAAGGGTCCAGAAAATGTTGAGTCCGTTTGAGCCCGTCCCCCAAATGCAATTTTGTACCGGAAATTCTGGTGACGGGACCCCGCATTGAGATCCCCTTGTTAATTCAACATAGCTATGGAAATCATCCATTTTTGATAGATGAATCATAATGAATCATCTGTAAATGGGCCATTTTTCATCGCTATGTTAAATCATCAGATGGATTGCAGAGGGTACTGAAGATATGTCGTCCTAAATCAAGCCTGGGCAGAATCTGGAATAGCACCATGGGTCGAACTCCAAGACCAGGAGTGTTCGACCACCAAGCAGTTTGGTGGACGTTTTTTTTGCGTAAAATTGCTGGTACCCTCTGGTAAACTGTTACATAACTATGGAAAATCACCATTTTTAATGGGAAGAGTCACTATAAATGGCCATTTTCAATAGCTATTTTGACATAACCAGATGGTAAACCTCCATTTTCCTATGGTTTTCCCATGGTTTTCCCTTCGTTTTGCCTAAATCCATCCCCTGGTCCCGATGATCCCCCGGCCTGGTCTGCGCGCCCGTGAGGTTCAGGGCCAGGTCCAGTACAAAGCCGTCCCCCGGATAGGTGGCATACCTGACAGCTTGGATTTGCCTCAACATGAGGTGTATACATAATATATATATGTGTATATATATTATATATATATGTATATATTAATATATGCGTGTGTATTATATACATATTATATATATATGTATATATTAATATATGTGAATATGTTTTCAGAAACAAAAAGGCTGCTGCGACCGTGAACTTGCAGTCCAAAAAAGGGTGTTTCAGCTCATTGAGAGCAATTCGTTTTCGAAGAGCTGCTTTATCTTGCCAAGTTTGCCAAATATCCATTATATCCAAATATCCATTGTCTCCAAATATCCATTCTTCTCTTATAATGATGGTAATATCCAAATATCTACAAAGTGATGGCTTTTCTCAAGGTCTCTATCCCCCGGCACCTTCCAACAATCGGCCGCTGCTCGGTGATGTTAGCACTCTTCCAGGCATAGTGATCCTGGCCAAGGGCCCCATTGGGCCAGGTCAAATCGGACCAGAAGTTTATAACCATTGACACAACTAGGGATTATGCCATATCTCATATAAGTATATAGTAGAATATGTGCAAATACACACGTAGAAGTGTGTTATAAGTCAAGTTATAACATGCTTACTATGAATTAGGGCACTGGATGTCACGGTATGCCATGGTTGACTCATGAAATGTGCTGCGGAAAGCATCACCAATTCCGTGAAAGAAGGCTTTATGCCGGTGATTCCGCAATATGGGTTTGTCTCAGAATGTTTCAAAGTTGTAGATGCCCTAAAATACCTCTTTTGATAGGGAAAATCATTCTCTAAACCGTTTGAATGGAAGAGGGTTCCAACTGTTTGAGACAACATTAATATGGCTTCATTCAAAAAAATCCGGTTCCCGTAAATTCTACTCAATCTTACTATAGACTATATCTTAATATCCCATGATTTTCCATATCTTGTCATGACTTCACATTGCCGTCCCAGGTGGATCCCAGGGCCTTGAGGTGCTCCCCGGTCCCCGCGGGGGCCCAGGAGAGGCGGCTCTGCACGGGTTCGGAGAAATCCGCGAAGCAGTCGCTGACGATGCCCTGGAGGTCGTCTATGATGCTACAAGCCTCGCAGGGTACCAGATTTCGCATGGATCGAATGGATCGCAGGATTTCTGTTTGAACATCTGGGGGTTCAACCTTTCCTTTCCAAGATGCTGCGACTCAATGCTTGGAACATGCAACCTCCCTCTCGCCACGATCACTGACATAGCAGTCTGGCTGTACACAAGAAAGATGTACGAAATCAAAGGAGAGGAGGCTAGCCATACACTCCGGGAGGGGATCCACCCGCTCCCTTAACGCTGGGGGGTACCGTCAAAAAATTGGTAGCGATACTAAACTGGGACTAGGATGATCTATGACAAGGAAAAACTCATCAGGAAAGACTCAGCTAGACAAAAGCTTGTCAGATGTCCCCTTCAATGTGGTTGGAAGCCACGGCGCCTTCCCAAAGCCTTATATGATTCCCGAAGTAACCAGCGTGAGACGTACATTGAGGGCGAGTCTCAAGAGATCCTGTAAGGCCACAGTACCCTCTGGTAAACAGCCACATAACTATGGAAAATCACCATTTTATAGCTGGGTAAATCCACTATTTCTATGGCCATTTTCAATAGCTATTTTCACATAACCAGAGGCTAATTTTCATGGGAAATGCCATGAAAAACCCGCAGACCACCGCCGCCCAGGCCTGACTGTACTGCACCCGAATCTGTCGCATGCGGATGGTGCCCAGCAGAACGGAGGTCTGGGTGTCTCCCACCTCGGAAGCCGCTGATGCCATCAGCCACGGCCAGATGACCAAGCACTACGAATGGATGTCCATCTGTATCTGAACTATATACTATATATATATATATGCTATATACCTCCTTACTTTCTTCCAAGTGTTTGTGTTGGCCGCCATCGTCATCTTCATCATCATCGTCGTCGTCGTCATCATCATCACCATCATCATCATCATCATCATCATCATCATCATCATCATCATCATGTAACAATAATAGTGAATTTCTTCGCATTCTTCAGATGCTTATATTCTTTATATTATCATTCCGGTTCATCATCATTTCACATCCCCACTGCCACTGCACCACGTCCTGTGCGTCCCAAACGTACCGCGGGGTCCAGTGCATGGTACCGTCCTGGAGATCCGCAAGCCAGATCAGCAATTTGCCATGGAAAGATCCACCAGTTTTAATAGGTAAACCATCTATTTCTATGGCCATCTATACCATGGCGAAATGTTAGTCATAACCAGAGGGTAATATATTCTAGTTGGATACCCTCAACAATGGGGGGTTGAACCACCAAAAGATGGAGATATAGTATGATATAGTGCTACCAGTATATCGCGTTTAATGGGAATCATGGACTAATAGAAGCCCGATAGTTCGAGGGGTCACCAGAACGCACATCAGCCACAGCCCGGGCTAAGAGGCGCCAACACCCATAAACCATACTCCAGTTACCTAAGCTTACCTCTTGGGTGGTATCAAAAACCATACCTGAAAAGTAGGGCTTCAATTGTGTTTACGATGTTTACCCCCTGGTAAACTTACATAGCTATTGAAAATGGCCATAGAAATAGTGGATTTTCCCATTAAACATGGTGATTTTCCATAGTTATGTAACAGTTTACCAGAGGCTACGCCTCTCAAAAAAGACCCAAAACCCTCTCTGGTGGATCGCCCCAACGGAATCACGAAAAAATCGCTCCAACCTGGAGCCGATAGACAGAAGTAGACCTCGGCGAGTTGGCAAGTTGGAAAATACACTTAAAACACAGTCAGACCGACCCAGAAAAAAAACATCATAAGATTGTTTTTGTTCGTCCAAATTACGCCAATTCTACCAGAATCTGCAATGAATCTGCATCATATGGATATATCATGATATATCCTATACATACATCCGGTGACCAAACATAGATCCACCGGACAGTTCTTGTTCGCGCAGACACTAGGCTAGTCCAAGGCAGATTGATGCTCAGCCCTTTAGGCCTTTTGGGCCTGTCATGACCCCATCACTTCACCAGGTGTCAAGCATGACGACAGAAGGATACTGGGTGCGATCTGTAAAGGCCTCAGAGGTGGAAGCGTTCGACAGCGAAGGTTGGGCTTCGACATCACCGAAAATGCCCTTTTTGAATAACCCAAGTTGGTGATAAGCATTGCTCATTAACATCCATTGACAATATCAGTTTCAACTTGGAATTAACATCCATTACGACATTATCAATCGAATTCCCTAACAATATTTCAAAGAAAAGTCAAAGGAAATCGATTTCTTCCAATGATCTGTTTCACACGCTTCCAGTCACCCCCAGCTCAACCAGAGCCCAACATCTCCGTACTGAGTCGGTGGAGTCCTACAAGTATAGAATGATCATCATATGTCTATATGTGTGATTATAATTATAGATATATACATATGTGTGTGTACATATATATATATATATACATACACATATACATTATATATATATACAGTATATAATATGAGGCCCCATATATAGATAACTTAATAGACTCCCCCAAGAAAAAAGTGGGATAAAACTGGGACATCTCCCCCAGTTTCGCCCAAATTCCACCAGACTGAGCGGCTAAGGGAACAAAGTCATTCTCTAGCCACGACAGCAGTGAAGGGATGTCCTTGACATCCTCAGCGTCGCTGGGAACCCCCAGAAAGATTGAAGTAAAAGCCTGTTCGAATATCATAATCATAGGGTTATGATTATCCTACAATAATCATCATAATCATAATAATCATTTATATTAATAATAATCATTGATCATCATAATAATGAAACATACAGCACGGTTCTATCTTACTGGGGGTTGCTATCCATTGAGCATGAAGAAAAAGTGCCCAATTCATCATTCAATTCTTGTCAATGATCTGCAAGACTTCGCAAACGTTCAATTCCACTGGGTTCCAGACGTTCACTTTGCAATGCTGTGTGGTTGCCTGAAGGCGTTTTCAATGAGATTTCTCCCCCAATGACTTACCAGAAATGGATGCAATGGTGAAAATATCTGAAAACCATAGGTCTATACCATCGGGTTAACCCAGCTGATATCCAGCCCATCGCCTGCATGGTGCAGCCACCCCAGTAGTCTAGCTGTTGCCTGGCGCCAGGTCTGGCAATGGCCCGCAATGGCCCAAAAGTCTGTTTGGATGTTCAACTCAACAGATTCCAACATGCTGATCTTCAGCTTTGACATCATAAATATCATAAATCAATCCCTGCATAAATGTACAATTCCATCATCAATTCTCTATGTATTTCTACACTAGCTGTCATTAATATGTCACAATATGTCGGTTGTCACTCCTCCGATTTTCTTGGCTCAGAACTTCCATCACCTGCCGTCTCCGATTTTGTCTCCTCCGCCAGCGCCAGCGCGCCTCCGACTGGAGTAGAGGTCGCCGGCCTTTTCCGAGATCAAATAGGTGGTCAGGACGAAGAGGAACAGCGCGAAGAAGACACCCTGGCGAAACAAGTAGTTAAAGCGATGGTATAATGGTGACTGAACCGTCATTCATGGTGGTTTCATACAACAAAATCAGGATATAGATAGTTGATAAAGTTTGGTTGATTAGTTGAGTAGCTAGTTTGGGATTGAATTACAGTACCCTCTGGAAATTTAACATAGCTATGATAATTCACCATGTTTAAGAGGTAAATCATCTAAAATGGACAATTTTCCATTGCTATGTCAAATTGCCGGAGGGTATATTGTGATACTGTGTAAACACAAAACTTCAGTTTAAGATCTTCCTGAAATTGGATTTTAGAGAAATTCCTTTTTGGCTGGACTCTCTTGTAAATCTAAAGGGTGAATTTAATATTGTGGGTATGGGATTGGTTGATCTACCTGGGTCATTGTGGTTCCAGCAAGCTCTCAGACCACAACAATTCCTGAAGCAATGTTTGGAAACACTCACTGATCCACATCGCTCATTTTTCGAGACAGTTCGAGTCAAATGGTTATACAAAACCAATGTTGCAGTGACTGAGTTATAAACCTGGATCACTTGGATATGGAAAATGAATGATAATTTCCCAACCTGATACCCTTAACATCTCCGGCACTCATTTTTTCCCAAGTTGGGGCTGTGACATCCGGCATCTGTTGGCCGAGCGCAGACCTCACTTCCCTCGGCGCATCTCAGCCATGCGCAGCTCACTCTGCTTCTTGGCGATGGACGCGGCCAACTCGCGGTTCTCGGGCACAGAGGTCTCTGCGTCCTGGAAACCGGAGATACCGGAGATACCTCTGGGAAGTTCCAGAAGTTCAGGTGATGGTGGCAGAATGAGTGAACTGATGAAAAATGATAAGAAGATGTCGCAGGTTTGGAGGAAAACGTGATCTGTAGAAATGGATATGTGTTTGGACCATTTCTCCATTGGTATGGGATGTTATTGACGTTGGAGAATCGGGCGTGTGACCTTGACAACATCAGGCTTTTTCCGTACCCCAGACTTCAACCCCAAAGTCGAACACAAAACCATCAAAAATTGCCACTTCCAACCAGTTCTATGCAATATTGAAAGCCCCTTCCTTCACTGGACATCCCAACTCAATTTCGTCATATGGCATCACCAATGATAAACCTCCAGTTTAGAGGCTAGATGTCCACCATGATTTTCATCATTTCTGTCATCCAATTTCAATGGATGATCATCGTGTTCCCTATCACACTGGCAATTTAATTGGTAGTACACTAGCCATTCGAAAGTGTTCAGACTCGAAGTGGTGACGGCTCAAGAATTAAGATACCACATGATGAGGAAACAATAGAACGCATATCATTTCTGGTTCCAAAAAACCATCAACAAAATCTTGGAGAGGTTTCCATACTCAGTAGCGCCCTCCTTGAAGCGCTGCTTGGCCATCGAGAAGGCTTTGTCCGCGGTGGTGTGGAACTTCAACCCACCACCTTCCAACCAGCTGCCGTCCTCATCGCCGCCTGGGGCCCCATCGCCTTCGCCTGCCTTCCAAATTTCGTTCATGGTCAGGCGTTCGTCAAAGTCGGGCGCTGGCTTGTCTTTCAATTCCTGGCATTCGAAGTAGGTCTGCAGTAAACACCATGCAGAAACCACCCAAACAATCCAAACACATTGCAGCCTCCCATCTCCCATACACATATCCGAGCTCCCCAACCACCACATGTTGCTTCCATGTCACGATGGCCCCCGATTTGTTGAAAGTTACCAACCTCAAGTTTGGGCACCACCCTCCCCATTCTTGCTGGCCAAATCTCGCTGTTTGGCCAGCCCGAATCCATTTTTGTCCGAAACTACTGGAGGAATCGGAGGGGAAAACATCAAACAGCTCAAATCACCGCTTCGTCCATCTTTTTCCACCTTTTTCCCTCCAAAAATTAGCTCTCAAATACTATCACCATCCTTTTCCATATTTTTCCCCAAATCCCAACCCCCAACCCCATCCCCCCATCCGCCCATCCCCCCTCCCCACCTGGTTCCGCCTCTCCTTCTGCGCCAGCGCCTTCTGCGTCTCGGCCTCTACCTCCTCGCGGTGCCGCTGCTCCGCGGCGGCTGCCTGCTCTGGCAGCTTGGAGGATTTCAACCTGCGGTGGCACCGAGGGATCCCTTTTTTTGCCAAGGAAAATGTGCATTTCATTACCGTTTCATCGTGATTTCATGGGATGCTTAAATGGATTTTTTAATGATTCTAACTGGGAATGAAGACATAATCGGGATGATATGGAATTGGGACATAATATCATTGGAGATGGAAGAAGATACTATGTAATCAACGTAGTAGGTGGATAGTAACCATTGTTATAAAAGTTGTAACATATTTATAGATGCAATACGAATCCACGACTTGCGGACTTACGATCACCAGGGTTAGGAAAACCAGTTTAGATCCGCAGGATAATCCTCCAAGTGCATCAACTGATCTTCCCGGTGATAGATGGGGGAAAGGAAAGATTGATGAAAGTTTAGACATACCAAACATCTACAGGAATGGGGTTTTAGGTCGGTGATTAGCCAGTTTGAAGGAAAATGAATGAAGAAATCCAACATTTACTAATAACTGGTCGTTTCAAATGTTGGTAAAAATGAAAAACATGTCGTGATTTGAAGTGATTTAAGCACCCTCGAGATCTTTGCTGATCGGCCTTTCCGACCTCTAACTTTGCAGGGGTGACCAAACCCAAGCCGAGCGCTCCAGGAACCTGTCTTTGAAGCTGGCCAAGGTGTCTTTCATGTCCTTGTGAGACATCTTCGCCTTCGTCTCTTGTCTCTCTTGCTCTCCAGGTTCATCTACCTTCTCTTCCTGAGTCTCCTCAGGGTCTGGTAGACCCAAAATACTGGCCTTACTTGGCCCAAGGCCTTGTTTCTTCCTTTTCTGTGCGTCTCTGAGCTCCTTCTCAGCATCTTTCTCAGCTTTCCTTGTGGGGTTGGTTGCGGTCTCAAACCCACATGTTGCCATATTTCTTCTGGGATTTCTCGGCGCAAGCTATTTCAGCAAAAAAAAATGGAAACAAAATAAGTAAAAACATAATAATTTATTTAATAAAGTCCAACAAATAAAACGTCTGCCCTCAGCACTAAGTTTCAATCTGGCCCTTTTTTCCTCTGGCGTCTCTTTGTACACCACCGAGGAGGACCCATCTTCATCCCGGCTTCGTTTGTTGCTCCCCAGTTTTTCGTCCAGCAACGGATCACGCTTGGCGTTGGCACCCTTCAATCGGTGCCCCACGATGAAGTCGGGATGCTTCACTTTTTTGAACATGGCGCCCCAGGGCCCCCACCTCCACCCGGTCTGAGCAGCTGGGCAACGGGCCGGCCAAAAAAAGTACCCCTGCCTATAACTGCTGTTGCTGGGGAAAAAACATGAAATCCAGTCCGTGACTTTGACTCATGGTTGAGTCACCTTTTGTATGAGCCTGAGTTCCCTCTTGATCCCTCTTGAAGGTTCCCACAAAAGATCATCATGGGACCAAGATCCATAACAAATGCCCCACAGCAGCCAGGGGAACGGCATCACTAGCTGTAATCAAAACCAGCAATGAAGTTTGATAGAGACTCCTCTTCATCCAGTTTCCACTGATCCTACGATCCTGCATGATCCTGGATGATGCTGGATTGTTGTCCAGCTCACACGGAGGTTTTTGAGCCAACTTTGGAACGCACAGCCCACCCCCAGGCTGACAGCCGCCTCACAGAACATGAGCTTCATGGTCTTATACTCCAAGGATTTCGTTCGATAAACATGGCCTCATAAATTCACACCGCCAAACCAAAAAGATTTGCCATGATCAAAGACCCAACATGACCCAACCGTTAAAGTATAGTGATTCGCTCTTATGCATAACATATACACAATCCAGCATCAAAGTAGTGGTGGTATAAGCGTCCTGGATTAGGGTTAATTACACAACTGTTTTGACCATTTCAAACCTGCTGTGGCACGCAGCCCTCTCACGAAGGATTTCGGCGACTACCACTTAAGCTTTGGACTGCTATCCATGTGTTCCAAATGCTTCCAGAAGCGCACATCCTTAGTAGGTTGTTTCACCAAGAAAGTTTCAGCAAACTTTCAAGATCAAATCAGCGGCCAACCAAAAAATCCAAGCCACATGCGGTTCTCTGGGCTAAATCTAAGGACATTTCAATGGTGTGAAACGACTGAAACGGTGCTCAAACTGAGCCCCCTGCTCCAAGGTGCAAATTGCTGTGCCTTTCCTGGTCATGTTCACCGCCCAACACCCCAATGGCCCAATTTGTGCCTTTAACAATACCTTCTACCGAAGTAAACTCAACAATAAACTCCAATCACAGTTTCTGATTGGTTTTTTACTCTTGGTTATACCAACCTATACCCCCTGGTTTTTTTGGATGTCAATTTCCTGGTGGCCCCTCCACCTCCTCTAGGAGGCGGTCTAGAAACGACAATGGGCCATCCTGCGCTGCGATGGCGATTTGGATGTCTTTGTATCATGGGTCATTAAATGTCCCCATTGAACATCACCCAACCATTAGGTATATGGTCTATAATGGCTACTACAAGGTGATGTCAGTGATGTCCAATATACCCAAAATGGGACAGTTACCAACCCCTGTATAACCTCAAAGAAAAATACATAATGGTACACTGGTATTTCCCTCAAAGAAAATTTTCTTATGCAACGCAATTCTGCTGGAAAAAAAGATGGTGGTAATCCAGAACAAACAAAAAGTGAGGTGCCCTATTTTCAGACAGATCCATTTCTGCACGGACATGTGGAATCAAGCAACTGACACATGGCCTGCAATGGATAATGGTAAACCATTTGGCTTTGGCATACCCTAGGAACTGGTCTGAAGGTGAAAAACCCTCAAACCAAATGAATAATCATATTGTTTCATTCAAATTGCAAAAAATGCATATATAGCACTAACAAATTTCAGAAAACCCTAACTACGTTCTCCTGGCATTTTATGTCAGATCATCTTATCACATCCCCGTTGTACCCCCATTATCCCCGTTGTCATTGACACTATGTTCCTATCCCATCATTTTGAACAAATCCAACTATCTTGTCACATTCTGTTCCAAATTTGCTATCCTTAGAATATATTGCCACGCACAAACAAGTAATTTTGCAGTCCTCCCCCGACATGTGCGCTTGCGCTGAGCCTCACAGAGGTGTTGCGTGTGGCAACTTGTGAAAGTCCAAATTGCAAGAGTATGGCAAACCCAACACAAGGACTTACACTGATTGTTTTTTATATGGGCTAAACCCAAGTGGTTGTCCATGGCAAATGCTGCTGTGCACCAAAGCGGCCTCCTGCAGAATTTGTCTCGCAAAAACATGTGGTTGATTCGGCATCAACACTTGTATTCATCCATGATGTGGTCACCGTATGAGTCCTTTCGTATCATTTCTAGTGCATCAGTTTTATTGGGATTTTCACCCTATCGGGTTGACATTAATTTAAAAAAATTGTTCGTAACGGCGTTCACCTCCGCCCGACACATGACCGCGCCTAGGTCACCGCGAATTACTTCATGGGCAGAAACGCAAGGACTGTGAAGGTTGTTTTTTTGCTTCGTTTCCCACGCGTTCTGCTGGATGTTCGTGTCAACATTGCCGTTCTGTATGTGCTGATTGTCGCGAAAAAAATAATCCAAAAATATGTTGTTGCTTTCACCCTACACTGTACACATCAAAAAACTCGAACCATCACATCATGGAACGGTGGCGTTGGCAAAGGAATAAATGACTTTTTTGGGACTTGGAATTCCAAACACAAACGGAGGACATTTTTGTCGAAACTAACCGGGAACACTTTGACACCATGATACGGACGGAATTTCGCCCACCACTGAACTTGTTTGGCATCGCCATGATGGCTTGTGAAAATTGGCTGTTGGAAGTTGGGGACTGGTCATGTGTCCACAGTTCCGTTTCGGATTTTTATGGATTTTTGCTCTGCCCCATTCATTCGCCCAGAGGACGTGGCAAGTGCAAGACACCAAACCCGCCCTTCCTGGGGAAAATGCGAAAAACATCGAACAGTCACATACTTAGTCTGCGTTTTAAAAGAAATTGGTTGCGAAAAGTGTTGTGTTCGCTGACGTATTGAAAGTAACCAACATGACACCAACATGGCCAGTACGGTCTCAAACTATATTCAAAATCTGCCAGGTCAGCCCATAGGATCAAACATTAGTTCTCAATTATCCTACATGTGGTGTTCACCAGGAATACCCCGATTGCAAACACCAAACAATAATCAAATTTCCGGTTTTACGAACCATGTTGATTATAGGCCGAGAGCGCTCCCAACGTTCGTTCAACGGCCAAACATGCTGACAACCCCTCAAATTGTCACAGTTTCCGTGCCTATCATTCAACAAAAACTACGTGAACCGGGTTCGATGGGACCAACCTTGGCATGATATTTTCCATACGTATGGAACGGAAGGGCATAATTTCCTATCCGATGCACCTAACATCGCGGATTGGAAAACCTTGCTTTTGAAACATTATTTGTTGGGAATGGGTGGGTTACATTGCCAAACTACCCTCAACGTTGTTTCAAATTTTGGTTGGGTTGGCTGCCTGCTCGCCAAAAAAAACGTGGAAAATCTAGCGGCATTTGGGACTGCAATTTTGTTTTATCTTGTCGGTATGATGAACTGGGACGTCGACAAAATGCATCCCAAATTCCGCATATTTGGAACCAGCACGGGTGATTTTTTTCGCCTTCTGCCCCCGTTGAGCGAAAAACCAAAGCTGAGCCGACCGTAGGTTTCCTACGCGTCAATTTTTCTAGGTGTGCGTGTTCCCTTTGCCATAAAAAGTTCGCCTTCAGGCTTGCAAGGTCACCTCACATCACCGCATCTAATTATTCGATGGAAAAATCAGGGGAAACCAACGTGTTTTTTCATAAGCCAACATTGCCAACACGTAGCCCTTGGAATCGACAGACAAACACCTCTGCCGTGCTATCATGGTTCCCTTCAGTTAAGACACCAAAACTTGGCGGCAGTGTTGTACAACGAGCCAATATGTTGGGTGAATCGCCGGTCGGTGAATCGCCGGTCGTTTTTGCACCATTTCCTCGCGGTTTTTCCATATTCAATGCCCTCATCTCAATGATGACCCGTGCTTAATCCACGAAACAATTCATATTTGTTCATTTTTTTTTCTCCCCCGCTTATTCTTTTGCACTCTAAATTTGCGCCTTTGTAACCATCCTACTCGACATATACGCATGCCGCATGCTGCATGTTCATTTGTTTCATTCGCGTTTATTTATGATTTCGCACACTGTTTCCATGGATAACCCATGTACGAAGCGGACACAACTATTTTTTTTCCTTTTTGCCACTGCATTCCGATATTGGCCATTCATCACGTGCAAATTTGTACAGTCGCTACCAGGCAACATGTTCATTCGTTTTTGGTCTATGAGTTGCATGCTTCTATTTATTTGAACCAATACTATTAACGATGCCAGCCGTTTATTAAAAAAGTAAACACATGTAAAAAAAATATTCGGGCAGCAACCTTGTCGGCATAGGTCGCTACGTCTTCCCAGTTATCACTTGCGGGGCGTTGTCTTGGCGTTCCAACCCTGGAGAGTAGCGGCTGTCATCGATGGAGCCTACCCATTCCTTAGCCCCGTTTTCGTAAAAAAACGCTACCCCATTGCGAAAGCAGCCCCCCCCCTCGATGATAAACAGCCGCACGGCCGCGCTCCCCTGCACGCACGGACTGTGAGTTTCCGCTGCTCGCAAAAGTGGGCGGAAGAAACTAAAATTACCGAATTTTAAACCCACGCCAGCGAAACGCACAATTAAAAAAATCTAATTTTTTTAAGCACTCCTTTGTAGGCACGAAAAGCGCGTCGATCAACTCACACCAAAACCCAATAAAATTTCAACAAACCGCTTGCGTTTTCAAAACTAACAACATAGTGGTGGGTCCCCCTAACACATCTTCGGTATGTGGTTTGACAAGTTTGTTTCGGAAAAGGTGAGAAGGGGGTTTCATACATTCATTTTCCATTGCCTCAGATCTTTGATGTTCATGGAGTTTTCTGGGCGAATCTTGCTAAATTGCGTGACGTTTTTGAATCCTTTCAAGTTGCTTCAAACCCCCTCAGGGACCATTTTAAAACCCAAAAATTGTTTCTAAAATGGAATCTACAAGGGGGGTCTTAGAACCCAAAATTTTTGGCAGTTATTCCATTTTTGGGTTCTAAAATGGATTTGGTATCTTCCACCCGAAAAAAATCGTG